GGGCTCTGATCTCAGGTGGGGTCTGGGCAGCGCCCGGCACTACAGGGCCCTGATCTTGGTCGGGGTTTGGGCAGCACCTGGCACAGTGGGGCCCTGATCTCGGTGCTGCTGTAGCACATAATAAATAAGTCCCACCAGCTACTGTACTCCCAACCCAGTCCGGTTTTGCTCCTTGCTGTGCCCCTCTTTCTGCAGCCCTCTGCGCCCAGGAGCTGGTCCCCAAGCAATGCCTGCTGGGCCCTGAGTTTTGGTGCAGGGATCCGGGCACAGCGGCTCAGTGTGGACGGCAGCAGGACTGCAAGCTCCTCGAGCAGCACATGCCACAGGTGAGCCGGGGGGCTCCCGCCCCTTGTTCTGATCCCATCCCAGCTCCAAAGGGGGCTGGGTGGTGTGGGGGGGGCTCTGGGATGGGAGGCTGAGGGGTCTGTGGGGGGCAGGGGGCCGGGGGGATGGGGGGCACGGGGGGTGGTGGCTCCTGGTTTGTGTCTGGCACAGCAGGGCTGGCACGTCCGGGAGCAGGCTTCTTCCATCAAGTGCACCATCTGCACCAGCATCCTGAAGAAGCTGAAGTCTATGGTCGGTGACGACCCCGACGAGGTGAGGGCCCTGGTGCCGTCGGGGGCAGCCCTGTGTCTGGGGGGGATCGCCCCGGTGGTACACCAGGGCCCCTGGCTCCAGCACCTGTGGGAAGCGGGGGGGCAGCAGGTGGGCTTGGAGACCAGGCTGTGGGGAGCGGGGGGGGGTCTGCTCCATTGCCGTCTGCCACTGGTGCCGGGGGCATGGGCAGCACCCAGTGCCCTGGTACAACCAGGAGGGAGAGGAGGGCCTAGATCCCACTGTCCCCCCCTCCACCTGCTGCCCACACGGCCCCCTGGGGTCAGGGTTCCCCCAGTCCCAGACACAGCCCCTGTGTCTCTCCCCCGGTGGGCCCTCCCTCCCCTGGCCCAGCATCCCATAGAGACAACACATCCTGCAAGGACAGTGCCCGGGGCAGTCACAACTGTGGTCTCAGGGCGGGGCCCGGCGAGCGCCCCCTTCAGGCAGTGGGGGGACGTCCCGCACTGTGTCCTAACCCCGGACTGGTGTCGTGCAGGACTCCATCGTCGAGGCCGAGGACAAGCTCTGCGGAGTCGTGGGCAGGGGTCTACGGCGCCTCTGCCGCTACGTGATGAAGAAGTTCAAACCCAAGATCACGGCAGCGCTGCAGGACGGGCAGGACCCCAAGGAGATCTGTATCAGCCTGCGGATGTGCCGGGAGTCCCCACCCACCCAAGGTTTTCCCACTTGTTCCCTCTGCCACGTAGCCAGGGGGCATCAGCCGGCTGCTGCCAGCCCGGGGCGTTGCTGTCCCTGCTGGGCACAATGCCAGGGAAATCTGAGCCAGTCGCCCTGGCCAATGGGGGTACGGCCTGGTCCCTGGGACATGGGCTCACACACCCTGTGCAGGACAGAGGGGACACCCCCCACCCAGCTGAGGGAGACCTAGGATGTCTGTGGCAGGGGGGAATGAGTGGGGATCAAACCGGGGTCCTTCCCAGGGGGGCAGGGGGAGCAGGTACCAGAATCAGTGCCACTGGCAGCTTGCGAGCTGGCTGCACCCCATACTGCAGAGCAGCCCTGGGGTGGCTCTAAGTGACAGCCGTTGCCCGAAGGCCGTGCCCTGGCCTCGGATGCCCACTCAGCCCCCGGCCAGGCCCCACATGTCAGGAGGGGAGCAGCGTAGAGCTGACTATGCTGGTCCTGCTCCCACCTGCTGCCGGAGGGGCCCCCTCTCCCCATGGGTTTAGGAGAGGAGCGCAGGGCTTCGGGGGGCAGGCACAATGCCCCAGAGGGGAGAGGGTGAGATCCTTGTTTTCCATGTGCCAGGTGGCCTGGTGCCCCCCAGCGATGCCTGTGACCTCTGCCTGACCTTCACCAGCCTGGCCCAGCCTGACCTCCAGCACATGAGGCCTGGCTGGGACCTTGGAGACGTCCTCAACGGCACATGCAAGCGGTACTTCGAGAGTTCCCCCAGGGTCAGTAGAATGGCTCATATCTGCTTGGGGTCCCCCAGCCCAGCCTCCCATTGGCTCTAGGAGAAGGGAGAGTCCCCAGCCATCTCCATGGGGCGTGGGACAGTGCCCCAGAGGACTCATCCGCACCAAGCAAGGCCGTGGGAGCAGGGGCTGAAGTATGTGTTAGAAAAGCACCAGCCTGGCTCAGCTGTGGGGTCTAGTGGTTAGAGCTGGGGAGGCTTTAGATGCCAGGACTCCTGGGTTCTTTTCCCAGCCATGGGAGGGCAGTGGAACCTAGGGGTCAGAACTGGGGGGCTGGGAGCCAGGACTCCTGGAGGGCAGTGGAGGTTAGTGGGTTAGAAGAACAGGTGGGGGCTGGGAGCCAGGACTCCTGGGTTCTAGCCCCAGCTCTGGGAGGGGAGTGGGGTCTAGTGGTTAGAGCAGGGGGGCTGGGAGGGAGCCAGGACTCCTGGGTTCTTTCCCCCGGGCAGAGCTGGGGGTCAGTGAGGTCACTCTCTAGCACGGGGCAGTCGACACCTCGGTGCCACGGGGGCCATGACCCAGGCTCTACGTCTTCCCGCAGTGCAACAACTTTGTTTTGACCTACCAAGCCAGGCTGCTGCAGGTTCTGAGGGTGCCCCAGGACCCGCTCACCACCTGTCTGGTAAGAGATTGGAGGGGGCGATAGGCCAGCGAGAAGAGCCGGGGGGCTAGTTACAAACCACCCCCAGGGAATCAGCATTCGCTGGCGGGCAAAGATCTCAGGCTGCAGAGATGGGGCAGGTGGCGTTAGCCACCACCCCTCCCACTCTCCCCGCACCTGGCTGTGGCCTGACGGTGGCAGATTGCCAGCGAGCCCCTCAGAGGGCGTGGGTCCCTGCTCACCCTCTCGGAACGGGCACTGCACATGGCTCTGCCCCAGACACGGGGGGCTGGGAGGGTGGCACAGCACAAAGGGCCCCTTATTTGCCCAGGGACCGGAACTGCCGGAGCTAAGGGAGCAGTTCTGGGACCCTGCTCGCAGCAGCTGACAAACCTCGGCCGTGGCCCAGTCGCCGGGGGAAGCTGAGTGCCCGGGGTCCCTGCAGCTCCTTGCACAGGCTGTGGGGCCATAGGGGGTCACTGCGGGGCCACCCCAGGGAGGGGTCAGGATCAGGCCCATGGCATAGAGGGCATTGCTATGGCAAACTGACCCAGCTCCTGGGGGGGCGGGAAGGGAGCTGTCACCCTGTCCTCCCCGCTGGGGTCCCCAGGCCTCCCCTAGCCATCCTCCCCTCCGGCATGCCCCCCCCCCCCCACCTCCATCCACAGTACTAGGGTCCCTGCCTCCCCCAGGCACTGGGATCCCTGCCCCTCTGCAGGGAACCCCCCAGGGCCGGCACTTCCAATTTAGGCGACCTAGGCGGTCGCCTAGGGCACCAGGATTTGGGGGGGCGGCATTTTGCCGCCCTCGGCGGCAATTCTGCGGCGGGTTCTTCACTCGCTCCGGGACCCGCCGCCGAAGTGCCCCGAAGACCGGGAGCACGGAAGGACCCCCCCGCCGCAGAATTGCCGACGACGACCGGGAGCACGGAAGGACCCCCGCCTAGGGCACCAAAAACCCTGGCGCCGCTCCTGGATCCCCCCTCCCGCTGCAGGGGGCCCTGGGCACCTCCCCCACAGCCCCATGCTGGCAATGCCCTTGGAGACGCCGTGTCCCTTCTCCCCAGGACGCAGAGGCGTGCCAGCTGCCGGACGAGTCCGCCCAAGGAGAGACCAGCTCTGGCACCGACACCTGGGCATGGCCGTGAGGTGAGCACCACAGGCGAGGGGGGGGGAGGGCTTTGCTCGTGATGGTGTCCATGGGGGAGGGCAGCGCTGTGCCAGGCCAGACACATGCCAAGCCTCTGGCCATCAGATCCCTCTGAGCCCAGCCCAGCCCCATGGCCCCCCATTGCACCCTGCACCCTCCCCGGGGGGCACCTCTGCTGGCACCGCACTGACCCCTCTCCTCCTCTCCAGGCCCGGGCCCGTGCACCTTCCACAGCGGGCAGCTCCCCCAGCCGGCTCAGGGCATGCTTCCCTGAGGGAACCGTCAGCCCCCACTGCTCCCCTCAGCTCCGACAGCGCCCCCTGGTGTGTGATGGCTGGGATGGCAGCATTATCGCCTCTGACTTCCGCTTCTCCTCCCCACTTTGGGCAATAAAGGATCAATATCGACCTGATGTCTCTGTGATCTCAACCCATGATGCCAGGGTCCTTGACCGCTGACCCTCCCAACCGCCTTCTGCCACCTCTCCCATCACTAGGTACAGCCACTTCTGGGGTGGGGTGTGGTAGCTGTTTATAATAGGGTGTTATGTGCCATCCCCACAGCCGCAGGGGGTGGGGGATTTGGCTTCCATTTCCACCTCCTGGCTGCAGAGCTGACATCAGCTGGTCCTCCCAGACCAGACGCACCTGCCAGCTCCCAGTCCCTGCTCTCATGCTGCCCAGCTCTGGGGCCTCGCTCCCAGGGATATCACTCAGCTCGGCTCAGCCAGATACAGCCTGGATCCTCCATGCCGCTTGTCACGGAGTGTGGGGGAGTCAGGGCCCTGCCCCCCTCTTCCTGAGATTCACCATGACTCTCAGCCAGCCAGTAAAACAGAAGGTTTATTAGATGACAGGAACACAGTCCCAAGCAGAGCGTGTAGGTACAACCAGAACCCCTCAATCAAGTCCTTCTGGGGGGTTTAGGGAGCTTAGACCCCAGCTTGGGGTTCCCTGCGTTGCACCACCCAGCCCAAACTGAAACTAAAACTCCTCCAGCAGCTCTCTCCCTGCTCCCCTCTGCTCCTCCTCTCCTTTGTTCAGTCTCCCGGCCATTAGGTGTCACTTCTCCCAACCCCCCTCCTGGCTCAGGTTACAGCTCAGGGATCTTCCTTCAAGGGAAGTCCCCCATCCCCAATGTAACTCCCCTGCAACATTCCCAGGTCAAATCCGCTGCGCTCTTTGCCAGGGCCTGATCCAGGGCAGAGAAATACCCCCTCCCTGGCAGTGGCATCTCATTAGCAGCAATGGGTGGGGGGAGGCAGACCTGGGAGGCCAGGGCTGCGTGCTGAGGCTCTGCTGTTTGTCGCTCAGTCCCCATCTCGGGTTTCCCCTCCCTGATCCAGGCCCCCTTCAAGCCAGATCCTCTTCCCACAGCTCCACGCAGGGCAAACAGGGTGAGGTGAAGGGGGAAGGGTGGGAGGGAGCTCTGTGCAGGCGCCCCATAGGTCCAGCAGGAGAAGGGACCAGCCAGTGGGGAGCACAGCTGCTGTCTCCAGGCCCCCCGGCCAGTGGCCCCCCAACCTGCATGGGGACCCCAGTGAGGCGCTCCATCATGAGGGCCCCCGGCAAAGCCCAGCACCGTCGTCACTGGGTCAGGCCAAGAAAGGAGCAGGGCAGGGTGGCCGGAGCAAAGACCGCATGCCAAGAATGGACAAGGCAACCGGCTGGGCAGGAAACAGCCCCAGCACTGAGACACCCAGTGAGTGGGCAAGCAGTGCCTGCCCCGTCCCCGCCCAGTCAGAACAGAGGCCAGCAATGACAGAGCGAGAACAGAGAGAGCGCCCCAGTTAGCAGAAAAAACAACACGGGGTCCTTGTGGCACCTTAGAGACTAACACATTTATTTGGGCATAAGCTTTTGTGGGCTATACCCCACAAGGACTATAACAAGGACTCCTTGTTGTTTTTGCTGATACAGACTAACACGGCTACCACTCTGAAACCCGTTTGTTTGGTTTTACAAAGTTTATTATCTCATCTGCCCAGCTCTTGGTGGATGCACTTTATAGATTCATAGATTCATAGATTCTAGGACTGGAAGGGACCTCGAGAGGTCATC